GGCACATGTTGTATGTAAGAATCATTTAATATTGTCAGATAAAAAGTAATAGTAATGCCACTACAAAGACAAGCTTGTTTCCAAAGAGCTCCCATGCTCCTCTTCTTCTTTACTGAAAGGGTTGTGAGGCATTGGAACGGGCTGCCCAGGGAGGTGGTGGAGTCACCATCCCTGGAAGTCTTCAAAAGACGTTTAGATGTAGAGCTTAGGGATATGGTTTAGTGGGGACTGTTAGCGTTAGGTCAGAGGTTGGACTCGATGATCTTGAGGTCTCTTCCAACCTAGAAATTCTGTGATTCTGTGATTCTTCTTCCTTTTTTTTTTTTTTTTTTTTTTTTTTTTTTTTAACCTAAAGAAATTTCTGCATATTTAAACACTGAATAGATCTTTAAATATTTCTGTAATAGGTGATGGAAAAGCAAATTAGAACATGAAGGAACAGTCCACATTTGTTAAAGATGACTTACTAGGAAATCAATTGTCATATATTGTAAGAAAAATTAGGCTATTTGCATTTTATCCACTTCTTTTGAAGTTTTCCAAGTAATGTGATTTCAGTGTTTTTCCTAGAGATACTGTTCCTCTGGCTAGAAAATATTATTTTCCTGGAAATTAGCCTAACATCACTTTTTTTCCCCCCATCCTTTATTTGCATTTCATGCTTTCTAAATATCAGTTAGAACTTCTATACCACCTACTGTTGCTAACTTGCATATTTTGAGGCAAGTCATTTGGCCTCTGTTTCAGCACTCTCCATCTTCTGAGGGGGGACAGTGCTTCCCTGTCTCCTGGCGGTTGCACTTACATGGACTGATGTTCAGTGAAATCATTTCAGTGCTTCCAGTCCAGAATTCAAAAAAGAAAAACATTACGAAAAGAGCTGTGCATGCTAAGTGTGTGTTAAAGAAATTGGAAGCAGCCTCTTCTTGTTTCCTATCTTTATTTTGTTTTTCTTAAACATTGATAAGTAAAAAAGTTGAGCCAGGAAAAACAGGAAAAAAAAGAGCCTGCAGTCCTATTTGACAGAGATGTTTGCTGTTGAGTTAAAATGTCACAAACGAAATGAGAATAAAAATATATGTTATTTAGTTATCTGACCTTTCATCTTAGACTGAGTTCTTGAATTCATTCCTGAAGTAGAGACAGCTCATATGTACTTGTGACCTTAGCCAAGTGTCACATGAAAGCACAGACTGTTCCCATAACACCGGGAAAGCTACATCAGTGTAGCTCCTTACTTAAGTTAAAAAATAAAACACCTTAACACCCTGTGGCCGTGTGATTCTCTAATTATTCATTTTAGACATTGTGACCTTGCTTTGATAAAGGTGTATAGGGGATACATGCTTTCCCATAGGGAGTCGAATAGGAAAGAGATGTAGATCACAAATGTTAGTTATATGGTGTAAATCCAATATTAAGATTCTTACTGTATCAGAGGATCTTTTAATCTATTAATTGCTGTATATTTTCTGTAATATTAATGGTGACCACTTTCAAAGATGGATTCTGCCCTACCGTTGTACAAATTCTGAGTGACAGGTTCCCATTTCTAAGGGGACATGGGAGTTAGAGGCTGACATAAAACACTGAAAGAGCTAGCAATGCTTAGCTTTAAGGACGGGGTGTAAAGAAGAGAGGGAAGTGTTAACCATTTTTAAAAGGTACATAAGAGGCTGCTACAAGCAAAAAGTGTATTTCATGTCCATAGGGAATAGAACCAGAACAGATGACCTACAGTTGCGAGAAGAAAGATCTAGGGGAAACCACTGAAGCCTTTCTAGTGGTGCAGATAATGAAGCACTGGAATAGATTGCTTAGGAAGTTTGTGTAGTCTCCTGCAGACATTTGCAAGTATATTAAAGAATGACATTGCAATTGTTATTTATTTGCTAGGGCAAGGGGATAGCTGAGATGACTTCTTGAGGTCTCCTCTAATAAAAATTTTCCCTCCGTCTGTTGAACTTCCTAGTATCTTTATTTAGACTCCAGGTATAAAAGAAGAATTCCTCGCTTATGTTATTTAGAGCCTCAGGTTTCCCAAGACTAGACATCCATGGTGGTACCTTAACTGACTTGATAGTATGGTCTTATGAATATAGTAAATTATATAGTCTCAGTATGACTTTTTGACAAAGATAGGGAATGGTGGTGTTTATATTGAGTTCTAACTCTACTTTGTGGTTGTGAATGCAAATATGAAGTAAAGAGCATGGTGACCATTAATCACATGCAGCTTTTTGTGGTAGAAATTGTTTGAAGTTTAGGTTGCTATAACTTTAAAGTTCTTCTGAATAAATACTATCAACAAAGATCATGGTATCTTTCCAAGATTTCTCAATTCTGCTAACCTGTCAATGTGACACGACACACACTTATGTCTGTTCTATATTGGGACAAAAAACAATGTGGAAAAACACTACTAACTGTTCACTGTTATAAGGGAATGAGAGCAACATATGTCAAGATGTTACATATATTTTGTTTTCATATGTGCATGGCTTATCCCTTTTGATGGTAATTGTATTTGCATCTCTGGTAAAATATATGTAAGGAAACTTACATATATTACCTATTTATACATGCAAAAGCATTTAGGAGGAATATGTTTTTCATCATTCATACTACATAACTCAAAATAGCCAAATCCTTAGTAAGGATAATGACAATTAGGAATGTAGTGCTATATAGCAAGTGCTTGCTCTCTGCTTAGTGGGATGGCTCAGAAGCAGTTGTAAATGGTTTTACAAGACCAGCTTTTTTGGACTCTCAGCTATTGTGACTTTCTTCGTCTGTCTTTTTCCCTGCTCATCTTGCTCGTCATGTATACCAGAAGTAAAATAGAGAAAATGTGTCTTTCTGTCTTTCCATATATTTCAAGCCAGTTAATCTTGAACTCTAAACCTTTTCTTTTGATCACTTCCCTCCAAGCTGAGCTTGAACTCTGCAGACTCAGTGCCAATTTTCATCTCTGTTTTCTGTGATTTGCCTCCCACATTTTCAACAAGTGCTGTATCTGTCACCTTTCTATGATGCCCTCAGGTGTGAAACACACTCTCTCCTGTGTACCAAGTGGTCTTCCATTAATTTCAGTTTTCTCTTAGAAACTTTTACAAGAAACTTTCCAACAGTGATCCCCTTCAGGAATAAAACTGTAATGTGCATAAATATGTTTTTTCAATAAATGCTTTTCTGCATGCTACAATTCTAGCACTTAGGTTCCATCTTTTATAAGTCCTTTCTGTATAAACTGGCTTTATACAAGATCAGGTTTTGCTTCCCTTATTCACTCAAAAGTCCCTAAAATATGAACAGTAATTACTTCAGTTTACAATATTAAAAAATTGCTTTTCTGCACCTTGATTTACACTGTTCACCAGTCTATTTTATGTGCTCTCCAGGAAGTTTGTAGTTGTGAAGTGCAGTTTTCCAAAACTACTCTCCATTTACAGACTACTGGCCACTCAAGATGTACCTTAGAGATCAAAAGAACAAGTTAAAAATATTCCCATTCATCAGATATTAATGCACAAATGACATTCTCATTCGCTTTCATTGCTGAATATTTTAAATCTCGGGGATAAATGCTCTTATTCCATTAAAGCTGTGTTCATGATTTGAAAAATACACGAGTCATCTGACTGTAGCAAAGCGAACAGTGAAAGAAAAAGCCTTATTAATAAAGGGCAGGTCAAATGAGTAGAAAAAGCCACAAGAAGTGAGCTCGCCCTGGTTTAAGGCGTTTTCCCTGATGCTGGACAAGATGTAGTCACTTACTTAGGGTCCTCAGATCATGGAAGCCACTTTCAGGTCTGGTGGGGTCCCAGCAGGTGGTGCCTGTGCTGCTGGAGGTGGTTTTGTCCTCGCCCAGCCTGTGGCCCCTGGTGCCTGCGCTGGTAATGGACAGGGCCAGGTCCTATCTAAAAGACGCAGGCATGACCCTGCTGTGGATTACAGCTAACAAGGTCAATTATTTGGAATACTTGGTATTTTCCCTGAAAAATGAAATTTGTAAAAGCTTTTCAGTACTCAATTCTGAAGTGTTTTAAGTCTGATTATGTTTGGAGAGACACCTTGCATGTGAGCTTTCTAGCACAGCGAAATTAACAGATTAAGTTTATCTTGCTGTTATTATTAGAGGTAGTAACAAAAGTTACAAATCTTTCCTTCCATTATCTTTCTGTGGTTGTGAAAGATACACTGCTTTTAGAAAGGCACAGGATAAATTTCTGAAGTCATCTTCTAATGAATCACCCATCCTGGAAAAAAAACTCTTCCAAAGGCCAAGGAAAAGCTTCAGCTTGCAGGTTTTTTGAGTCGTTTGCCTTGTGTTCGTTCTTTAAGAAATTGGGCTCTAACAAGCAGATCTGACTTTGAGAGGAATTCTCAGTTTCCTTCAAGCTTGCATCAAGAACAGTGCAGTTTGTAAGCTCTTATTTGTGGGAATTTTGTTTTGTCAATGCAGTGCCTTCTGTGTGATGATTTCCTCTCACTGTAAGAAGTGTGCCTACAACAAGTTAATAGAGAGTTTCCAAAATAAAAGGCTGCAGGAGCGGGACTGAAGGAGGATAGAGAAGATGGATTTCTTTTTGCCAGGCTCCTTGCAGCTGAAAATGTTTTTTCTTTTTAGTTTCTTCTATGAAGTCGAGATTTTGAGGTGATGACAGTCTGATTTATTTATGTGAGCTTTTCTGTATAGCTTACCTTTTCCTCCAGTTTACTCTCAGCCATGCAGCCTCTGAAGAATAGGAATGAGGCAGTAAGAAACAACAGGTAGTCAAAGGGTCCTTGCTGGTATTATTTATTTAAACACAAAAATCTGTAAGCGCTTTATTGTGATCGTTAAGCAGGCTGAGAGCTTTAAAACATGGGAAGGCAGAATAAGTAGCTGGATGATTACTGACTAACATGATTCTTTAGTTTAGGTATAATAAAATAATTTAGAACCCAGATGAGGTCTTACTACTTTTTATTTCATTATGCCTACCTTTTTTTAACAGTGCAGGGAGCTTTCAGCAGCCCAAACTCCTTTGTGGTGCTTCTGTGTTCTTGCTGTAAATGTCTCAGGTAAGACCTTAGCCCTGAATTGCTGTGCAACTGCTGTCTTCTAGAGTGGGAACAGTGCTGCTGCCATTCATCTTAGGACAAAACCAAACTTTTCTTTTTTTGCCCATCATCATCCTTAGTTCGTTTCACTGAAAAGAGCAATGCAAAGCTTTACTTGACCACTGATAGTATCTTTCTAATTTGCTATTTTATTTCTTTGATCTGATTTTGGTAAAATCCACTATCTAGATTACATGTAACCCCAGTAACAAAGATTCATTTGGGGAAAAAATAGTTTATTTTACTTCACTGACAGATACCTTGGATATCATAGAAAACAAAAATAGAGCGTAGGCTATTAGGTTTCTTTTATTTTTGCTTTTTATTTCTTTGTATCTTTTTTTTTTTTTTCCCAGAGAAGACATAGTAGGCTTTAAAAAAGTATTTCTGGAAGCAGAAAAAATGGCACAAGTTTGTTTCATGTTCAGTGTGGAAAAAGTTTACCGTACTGTTTTGTTGATCCCTGTAGGTTCATTTTGTGGCGAGCAGCTGCCAAAATGTCAGTCAAAGCTTAAGGCAAAGCCTAAAGCAATCCTGATGCATTAAATACAATAACATTAAAAAAAAAAAAAAGTTAACCCTTTCAAACCCAGATTCACTGCCCATTGAATTACTAGAAAGACTTCTGTTATATTCAGGGTGTTTTGTTGTACTGGATGTGGCTGGGATGGGGTTAACTTTCTTCATAGGAGTGTGTGTGGTGCTGTGTTTTATATCTGTGAGTAAAAGGGGGTTGGTAACACCCCAGTGTTTTGGTTAATCATATCCATACCAAATTTTCTAAGATCTGTGAGAGGCCACACAAAATCGTAGCACATAAGCATTTTCCCAATAATAATGTAGAAATAATTACTTCCTGTTGGTGGGGTGACTGCACCCACTTTCCCTTTGAAGCGGCAATTGTGATGTAATATTTGAAACAGTATTTCAAGCCATATATCAAATCCATGGGCCGTTCCCTGCCCTAAAATCAGTGCTTAGCTTTAGGGAAAGAAAACATGCATGATGGATGAGCTCTTCACTTGCTACTTTTGCTACTTTTATTTATTTCGTGACACTGAGCTCATCAAGACCTCATTACCTTGTGTTGCTGGGCCATACAGTCAGTCCCTTTCCTAAGATAACTTAGGTTGCCACAGACAGCTCGGTAGTTGAGATTTGAGGCCATGTCTTTCACACCATAATAATAAGTTCTTGTCTGGTTGCCTTTGTCACACTGTCCCCCAGAAAGAACATGCTGGCTTCAATGTGACACTGCTTGCAATCTGCTGATTATTATCCCCTCCACAAGTCACAAACAGAATCCCCTAATGTCTAGATGTAGTTGAAAAATGGATGGCTGCGGCACATCCAAGTCTGTTGTAAAAATTACTGTCTTCTCAATAAATATTTTCTAGTGTTTCTGTTTTTCAGAGAAAAAAAAAAAAAGTATCTCTGAAAGTGAGATGAGAATTGGAATTTTATCCCTTTTTCTAGCCAACTCTGCTAATAATTAGCATGCCAGTAGCTTCTCACAAGTTGTGCTGTCACCCATTAGCAGAGTATCAAGGAGCCTTTCTCCCCAGACTGATACATAAAGGCAAAAAGAGTATTTTTCTTACTATTTATTTTTTTAAATGAAGGAGTTTTATCTCTGATTTGGAATTGATTTCAGTCCTTTCAGCTTCAAGGGAGACCAGATTACACATCTGTTAAGGCAGAGATTTATCCGATAAAACATGAATAAGGATCTGCACAGCTAGGTCCCTAATTACCCAGATGATTGCCCTGTCAATTAGCAGCTCCCAGGCTTAGATGGCCGCTCTGTCTCTGGTGATCTGGGCTCACAGTGTTTCTTGTTTGTGTGCTCCTTGCTGCAGTCCGAGCAAACACAGAAATCTTCACTTGTGCACCCTGACTGAGAACCTTTGTTGCCCAGGAGGATGAACTCACTGATCCCCTTTAGCTCTCTGCTTGCTGATACATTGACCTTATTTAAAAATTTATTTAATTTCAACCACTGACCCAAACCCTTTTTTGCTCCAATTTACGGGAATTCAAGTTGATTAGCAACGAAATATACATCCAATTTCTAAGCAGTTCAATCTTTGAAAAAGTAAATTGGGGGGGGGAGGGGAAGGTAATTGCACCACGTTGAGATGGAAAGCTTTAATTTAGTAAATCTTTCTGTGGATACCGATAAGGAGGACTGATGTGTTCTACTCATGTTCTGACTTTCTAACATTATCAGCAATAAAAAGCACAGAGGGCCTATTTTAATCATTGAAATTGCAAATGTATGTCAGAATACTCAAGTAAAGGGAGTCTTCTAAGTAGATGCAATATTTATGTCAGTACTTTCAAAGTAAAATTTTTTTTATGGTTTTATCACTAAAACAATAAAACATCAGGACTATAGCAACAAAAATTTCAGCCTTAATTATAACTCAGCTCAATTACAGATACAATGTAAGTTGTATCTCTAGTTTTCTGGCTCTGTGATTAAATTCTCTATGTTGATGTTAAAAATGTCGAGTGTAATACCTATCTGTCAGGTAGATGAGCTAAAGCAGTGAGAACTTCTGATTTCTCCTCATTTTTTGTATTTGTAACAAACTACTTAACAGTGAACTACTATAGAGTTTTTATGATTTTCAGTTTAATTTCTCAAGCATTAGCTTAGTTCTCCCAGCAGTGAATTAACCCAACATTGGTGTCTGGATTGTTGGCTGACCAATTATTAATCAAGTAGAATTAATAAAATGTACAGATTTGTCTAGTGGCATAAGATATTTTGTAGTCTGATGCCTGTAATTTTTACCTTAGTGCACATGTGCAGGTTCTTTCCCTTCTAGAGCAGGTCTCTGAAGCACTACAGAGCAGTGGTGAAGATATATGTGATGTGAACAAAGCTGAGTGCACACAAATTATTGTGGGGTTTATTTATTTGCTTCTAAAGATCTGTGGGAGAATTTAAATTCAATCCCATTAGGTATTTGCATCAGGGCTGAAAAATGTCACTGAGCTCATTGGGTTCTCTTATGAACACTCACGTGCAGTAGGAATGAGAAATGAAAAACAACTCAGAAAACTGACAGAGTGGGAGATCAAGTTGTGTGATTCATTGGTAGTTTCCTTCAAATTCTACCATGCATTGCAAAGACTGGGGCTGTAGTATCTCAGGTTCTGTTTTGGGCCATGTCTGATGTTGTATGGCTGTACTAATAAATATTGAATGAATTCAGATTTATGGCTCATGAATAAACTGCTTCTGATGCTTTTCATTTACAGAGGAACATGATAACCAGTGTCTGGGCAGAATGGGAGTAGAACCAAAGAGAGACAGAACAGATACATTCACATAGTGTAAACATGCTGCTGACAAACCCCAGTGGGGCTGTAGGCACACCTTGTCAAGCAGGATACAAGGTCTTGGCCAGGAAGTGGAGAGAGGCCAAAAATTAACTGAGAGATGAAATTCTGTCAGAAATGTGCAATTCAGAAAACAGCTGGGAAAAGAAAAGAAAAAAAAAAAGCCAACATTTCAGCAAGAGAACTGAGCCAGTTTTCCCCTTTAATAAGCTTTATAATGAATAGCTCATTGTGAATTTAATGTGTTGCCTGTGTTGAATTGTTGCATGTAGATTTATGTCTTCAGAGTTCATACATGCATTTATGATATTGAAAGCAGTGATAGGGAATTGTTGGATATAGATTTTCAGCTGCTTGAATTTCAGTGAATTATAATGAGAAAGAGACAGTATAAAAACACCTAGTTGCTATTAGCATTGTAAGTAAACAGTTGTTTCCATAGGAATTCTAAATCTGGTCTGTAAAACAGAAAACAAATGGACAAAAAGAACAACAAAAACAGAGGTGAGTTTGTATTGTCCCATGCTATTAAGACATCCTACAGGTAGCATTAATGTATAGATGAGTTAATTCTTTAACACTAAGCTGTACCACATCTGGAGTAGCAGGAATCTTCTCTACCTTTTGCAGAACTAAGCAGTCTAAGATTATACAGTCTAGAAGAGCCAGTGAGCAGTATCTTGTTGCTGAATGTAATTTCAGAAAAAATAACCAAGAGACAAATTTAAACTCTGGGCTGTTTTTATTTTCACTGTATCTACTCTAAACAATTTACAGCATTCAAGCAGGAGGATGGTAATGCACTGGTTTTCCTATGTGTAACTAGTGTGGCAAAGAGACAGCTGATTGGAATTAACAAATTTTTTATTTAGAGAAAAACTCCTGTGTGAACTCCAGTGGTCCTGTGCTTGATTATAGACCAATGTAATTAATCTCCCACAGGAATACTGGCTCTTTCATTCCAGCAGGGCTTTAGGTTGTGCTTGACAGTATCCATGTGCTGACAGAAGTATCACAGATGCACTTACTGATTTTAGAAAACTAAACGTGGATTAAATGTGGTAAAATCAAACCATCAAAGGGTAGGCATTCAGAGGAGGTAACTCATGGGAGAAATGGTATGAGTATGTCTACAGGTAAGCTCTTCAGTGTCCTCAGAGCCTTTCTGTCTAGATCAGGGACCTGGACAAAGTATACCACAGTTCTTTTCTAGCCCGCTTGCCTGAATTGTTTTCCAGAGTAAGTCTTGTCACAGAGGACAGCCAGGAAAAGGACTATGTTTGTGTATGCTGAAGTGAAGTCAGGTTACAACCATAGAACGTGTAAGGTTCTGGAAGACTGATGTTTAATTGTATCAAAAATCATAGGGTTGAGAAAGTGAATTATCAAATAAAAAGGCTAATAATGAACTATCTCTTCTGCAAGGACATCAGAGAGCTGGAATACCAACCCCATGACTTTTTGTTGCTTTAGCTAGTTACTGTGTTGAGGAAGTTGCATTACACTGCTGTATTTCTTTATTTCTGTCTGTTTTCAGAGATAACGATGAGCTGCTCTGTCATGAGAATGCGTGGGCAAACCAGCTGCTCACCAAAAGCTGTACAAAGGTGTTCAGGCTGTAGCCCCTATGTCCCAACCTATGTTATGCCCCTGCATGCCTTCACCTGAATGTGCTTTACCTACTTGTTGGTGTGGAGTTTTTATACCATCCTGCTTCTAGCATTTTGTATTACTGTTCAGGCTGGTAGGAAAAAGATTTATTTCACTTTGTATTTTTGTTTTGCATTTAAGCTTTTTTCAATGCATTTCCTTCCACAGTCTATAAAACAAAGTTTTAATATGGCTTCTACAGGCATATTGAGTAAATCTGGGGACAACAAATGGTTGATTACCTGTTCCAGGATGGGTTTTAACAATTCATGTACCTGATTCTTTTCTCATTTATTCCTTTACATGCTTTTGTTATGGAGTTTGAAGCTGTTTCCTTGACACTGTTTGTGGCCATCCTTTATATTAAATATTGCAGAGAACTTTTTAAGATTTTTTTCCATAACTTTGTTTTCAGAAGTCAGTCTCTGCGATTGCTATGCTTTTGTTTCGAAATTGTTTGTCTTGATTCATGACATAAAGCCTTCTCTCTTGTTTTTCTGTATCTTGATTACTTGTACAGCACCAAAAAGAAATTCATGTACTAAATCCATTGTTCTCCAAGGCTTAGTAAATTTTGTGTGTGTGTGTGTGTGAAGGCTTTTCTTTGTTCTGTAATTAAAAAAGCGGTAAAAGCCTTTCTTGTTAGTTGACAGTTATTCTTAGAAAGAATGCTTGCTCTATTTTTCACCAGTCTCTCCAGTTTGTCTATTGTTAAGTTCTGTTACTGATTGGTGAGTATGTGAGTACCAAAGCTGGAACCCTGTGCAGCACTATGCCAGGAGAGTGGAGCAATGGAGCAGTGGTGGGGTGAGCGATGGATAAATAGGTGACTATGGAAATAGTTTCTCCCAGTTCTCACTCAGTATGCATCCAGCATGCACATTCTCTCAGCTGTGCATGCACCATCCAATATTTAGGGTATTCTTTTGTACTTTTATAGTGCTAATGGTCAGGTAGTCCAGAGGGTTTGCAGTAGGTTTCAGCAGGAGCTTTGGAGTGTCTCCAGTCATTACATGATTCTCTTCCATGACAGAATGCTCCAGTGGGACCTCCAATAAAGCATCTTCTCAGGCACCATTTCTCAATCTGACCGCTTGCTGCCCCAGTGCCTATGAGAGGTTTATAAAATCTGTTATCTTTCCTTTGGCAGTAATCAATACCACGAGATGTGTGTGTGGAGGTGAGGAGCAACATGTTTAACTTAGCTGTTTTGCTGCCCTTAGGATGTCAAGGGGACATTACTTCCTCATACCTTCAGTTTGCACTGATAATTAGAAATGCATTGGTCCTAAAAAAGATCTAGAAATATAATTAAAATCAAACATAATACTTCCTGGGGCAGAAATTGGCAGTGGTATTTTCTGTTCCCTAGGATATTTCCTAAACAATAAAAATGAGCCCTTTTTTATAGACAGATGGGAAGCTTCCTGTGTAAGACAGAGGAAAATGTGTGGCTGTTCATACCTTTATCTCACCGAGAGGGACCAAAAGAGAAACATTGCTCAAGTGAAGATGTTCAATCAGCCTTTATCTTCTCTGTGGAAGACAGTTTATCTGTCAGGAATAATTCGACACCAGATGACAAAGAGAGCTAATTTTATCAAAAGGGTGAGGAATGAAGATTTGCCTAATTCTGTTGTGTTTACAGTAAAAATAATGCCTTTCCTTTGACATAGCCATTTTAGCATTTATGTTGCAAATTACTAGTATGGCAGCATGATTGAAAAAAGACATAAAGATTCTTCATGTATACAGCCATTTTGATCAAGAGATAAAAATGACCAAGTTGTGGAATAGCAGTATCTGGGTCATTGAATCAATTTTGCACATATTTATGACCATGCAGGGAAATGAAAATGGAAAACAGGCAAATAGTCTTTAAGTCCTTTTTAACAAATGATACCCGTTACTCATGCTCAACTTTTCTTCAGTTTTCGGGACATGAATGCCATAAGCACAGCTCTCAGCTCATAAATAAGTTCTAAAACAAAAATCTGTGGAGGTCTACAGGGAACATTTACCCAACTGCTGTATAAACCTGCAATGCAGGTGAAGATTAAATGTTATGTCTATAGCCTTAAGACTTTGGAGAGTTTTGGCAAGGATGTTGTCATTTTCATGGTCTGACAAAAGCAGAAATGCAATTTGGTTTCTTCCTCATTAGTCCTTCTAAAAAAAACGTAAGTGCTACTAAATTTCAGCAAGGAGCCAAAGTGCCAATCTACTGAATTAATTGAACCTGCTCATGGGAAGCAGAGATGAGTATTTTATTAGAAAATCTGCATGCATAGTAGATAGTGGTTTCAATATCCTTCTGAGTTGCAAAGAAATTCCAGCTGATAGGCACTCAATAGGTTCCGGTTGCTGCCTGCTCGTCCATTAAAGGAAGGACAAGGCAAATCATCCACTGATAGGATAACATGTTGCCAAGACCAAGATATTTGAGTTAACCTTTACTTATATACATCCTAGAAATGTCACATATAAAGTATGTTATTGTGTTCCCCTATGTGTTTATTTGTTTGTTGAGACAGTGCCTCCACAGGCCCTGTGAACAATGTTCCTGCTATGGACATAAAGCAAAAGCTTGTTGTTGTATTTCTTTCTATGGGTGCACTCTGTTATTCTGCTAGGTGCCCTGCCTGCTACTCTACTTCAGAACTATCATCTTGGACTGTGATTGCGATTTGAGATGTGCAGAGTGTTTCATGAAATGATGTTGGCAATTTCAGTAGCTTTGCTCTGTGGATCATCACTGAAGCAAGTGCTAAACAGCGCTAGGCGGCTCTGTGCCACCTAGGAGGCGGAGGGCTTCTGTTTTGCAAGAGTCCCAAAAACATTCAAGCATAAAGAGTTTTGCTGAACTGTGGAGTCAATTTCTGCCTATTTATAAGATTTCATGGAGAACATGAAGTATTTTTTTTCTCATTTCTAATCTCACTTGTTGAGTAATGCCTGGAGCTCAAGCTGTCTACATTCCCATAAATAGCGGTATTTCAGCTGTGGTAGAGGTGATTGCTGATTGTGAGCAAAGGCAGATACTGCAGTGCTGACCCATACACAGGTGTTCAATTGTCTGTCCTGAGTGGGATCTTAGAAAAACAAACAAATAAACAAACAAACAAACAAAAACAGTTGTTTCCAAATCAATGAATAGAATAGTGCTGTAAAATATTAGGCACATACAAAATAACAGGATCTGATTGTGTTATGCAAGAACAACGTGCCAATTCAAGACCCATGACTTCTACCATGTTCTGAAGGCAACTTGGCTGGAGGGAAATGAGAGTGCAGGGAGTTGTGTTTTCATCCCATTGTACCTCTGCACAATAAACAGAGTCCAGCTAGCAGCTTATAATCTATAACTAACTCACACGTATCAGCTCATTGCAGCTTTGTCCACAGGGGAGAAGTCTGATCAGCTGGACCAAGGACACCTTGCTGCCAAAGCAGCAGTGTTTTGGGAAGGCTGCATCTAGCACAAAACTGGGTGAGCTGTAGGCTCAACAAAAGCTAGTACTACTTTCTGTGGCATATTCTGAGGTTTGTTAAAGATGCATGTCTTTGCACCTACACTGCTTTTTGATTGTTCAGAGAGGAAATTTTACTTCTATTGCTGACATTTTTAAAGTTCACAGTAGATTTTATATACCCTAGCACAGAAACCACTTCCTTCTCTTTCATACGCAGACGTGATTTTGTCCTGGTGGAGTATTTGGAAGGAGGCTGAGGTATAACCCAAAAGGGGAGCCAGAGCCAGGGAGCTGTACCAGGGCGATGAAAATGGAGTGGGTGAGGGCTCACAGAGTTAAATGTGCTGCTACTGAGGAGGAAGAAGCATAGAGTGGCTGACCGCCTTGGGTAAAGAACGAGTTGCTAGAGAAACTGTGGTACAATTCTGACAGAGGTTTCTGACAGATTAACAGTCTTTTGAGAGCCAAAACCTCTATCTGCTCTTTAAAAGGGCAAAGGACACCTGCAGGGAAGAAGGGGGAAAAAGAGTGGGAGTCCTGCAGTCACTTCCTGAGCTGATCTGCCTGGAAATGAGGTAACACAACCTGGCTCACGCAAGTACCACACACCCTGCACGAAGCTGCTAGGCTGAAGCACACTCATTCTATTTTGATGCCATTCAGGGGTCAGTGAGGTTGCAGTTGTAGGAAGTTAATCAGCTGTGGTACCTGCAGGGCCTCTGCCCAGCGATGGCAGTTTCGTTCCTGGGACCTCCCACAGGGACGGCTGGTGACCAGTGAGTTTTGAGGCCTGGGGCTCTGCACAAACCACTTTCCCGCAGTCTTCGAGGCTGAAGATTTCAGTCTGCCATTACTGCAAAGAGCAGGGCTTTTTGTAGCATGGGGTTGAAAACTTGAGTACTTCTTTTCATCTCCTGCTACTTTCAGCTTTTCCCTTTTACAGAAATTCTGCAAGCATGAGGCACTGTTCTTGTTTTGTAGAGGCAAGCAATATCTAGCCTAAATGCAGAAGGAAGTTCATAGCATAGTGCCCATTGTTCTGGTTCCTCATCACATCTGAATTCTCTTAACTTTGTGGTCATAGATCTCAGATATCTATAGATCATGAACGTTTAAAAAGCTGAGCAAATGGAGTGTATTCTACATTTTATTTACATGTAGAACACATGAATCAAGAGTCCTCTTTTCCCTGTTTCTCCTTTGAACTCTTATACATAGTCTGGTTCTTCTGTCTCTGGCTGTAGAAGACAGTCTGCTTCTACTGTCTTCTGCAGTGTTTGATCCTGCCATTTCCCACCGCTATCACCAACTCGGACTTTGTGTGAGTTACAGGGGAATTCTTCTCAAAGAACTGGTTTAGGAAAGCAGTTTTATGCAT